TTCTTCCTATATTTCGACGTATTTCGCAAAATTTATGTTGCCAACGCACTCCACTAAGCTCGATCTCCCACCAACCCAAACAGCTCCCCAAATCATCACGCTGAAACCATCATGCTTCACAGTTGGCTGCAAACTGTTGAGCCAAAACTCTTGGTGAGGCATTCTCCAGACCCATATCCTTTCACTGTCCGAAAAATTGAGCGAATCTTGATTCGTCTGAGAACAATACGGTCTTCCAAAAGTCCAGAGGCTTGGTCATCATATCACTTGCCCACTTTTTTCGTCTGACTATGTTGGTAGGTCTTAATAAGGACTTCCATCTAGCTGCTCTGCAACGATAACCCAATCTGTGGAGAATCCGTTGAACAGATTTCAGGCTCATCCCACCAACTTGGGCCACTTCTGCAGTCGTTAATCTGGGACCCATTTCGATGCTCCTCTTGACAGCCCTTTTTTGTCCTCTCCAATGGACCAGGACGACCCGGACACTGCTCAGTTGTTTCCTTGCCATGTTTCCTGAACTGCACGATGATTCTGTTGACTGTCAAAAGCGGAATTTCCAAATTTTGTGAAAGTTGTCGCTGACTTATTCCACCATCTGCTTGACCAACTATCCTTCCTGTAACAAAATCTGACAATTCGAGAGAACCTTCAGTTCTAGGCCTGTTGTAGCACAAGATAATTAGTGTGCGGACCATTTTCATTTATATAGTGCTCTGTGAACACAAATTAGTTAGCATAAATCAGTTAAATGACGAAAAATTAGGTGTCTATTTACTTGTGACCACTCAGTGTAGATAAGGGATTTTTAGTTTACTAGTATACTCAATAAGTGCCAATATAAACTATTGTTTCTAAAATTATTTACAGTCATTATTGGATAATGAAATATGAGGAAAGAAGAATACAGAATTATTCTGAAAAAGCTTGAATAAAGATGTTTTTAGATAGGAGATTAGAATTTCAAAGACGGGATATCTCTTGTACTAAATGGCATTGGAAAACAAAAAAATATGGATCAAATAGGAGAACCAGGGTCATCCAGAAAGAGATCTGCAACTGTGGTACCATAACCGTTCTAAGCAAAGTTCAGCGCCTTCTAACAACTAAAAAACCACGAACACAAAGGACAGTGGTGAAGGCTGTCCATGACAATGTAATTAAGGAGGATGGAAAAGTGACACAACTCACGTGTACAGAAATTGTTTCTACAATGTATTTGCTCATCCATCAAGCAGCTGGAGAATGAAACAGGTGTAAATGCTATACCATAAGAAGACATATCAATCAAATTGCTGGATGCAGTACTATAGATTTCTGTGTGATCGGATTGTTAAAATTAATGCTGGGAAACAACCGTCGCCTTGTGCGCTAGATGGATTACGGAAAGTGAGAAGGAGAAGTGGTGTGCATTGGACAAGACAGTCTTATGATGGAATCTTTTACAATGAAAACTACGTTGCAAGGATATTTTATGAACGTGGCAACACAGACTGTAACTTCTGAGGATCCGTACCTTTAAAGCATACCTTACAACAATTCTAACATATAAATTTAGATGTAATAAAAAGACAGCTTACGAAAATTTTAAACCTTACGAACGCAAGAAGTTTCAATTATGTTATTTTAAACGGTTTTGGTTCTCTATAAAATAGGACAAGAATTAATATGTCAAAAAAAAAACACCGGAGAAAATTCTTGATCCCCCTCAAAAAAAAATAAAATTAAATTGAGTTTCTGGTCAAGTAAATACTTTGTATAAATTGGAGTGGTTTAAATGTTAAGAAAATGCACGATGTGGGAGGCACTTATTATTTACACTTGTAAAAACTGAATAGGCGTGGCAAAAAATAATAATAAACTGAACCAAGATGTACTTGCCAAAATTCAATAATAAAAAAATGAAAATAGAAAGAACCAAAACGGATACCTCTTCACAGAAAAATTAGATAATGGTGTTTGAGTTTACTAGCATGCTCAATAAGTAAAAGCACAATTTATTGCTCATAAGATAAGTTATAATCTTTATTCGATAATAAAACGTGAGGAAATAACACAGAACTCTTTTGAAAAAGTGCGTATTTGTTGATAAACTATGGTAAAGTGTTTCAACTGTTCATAACGCGTAAATTTCCCTAAATATATTGTTTTAGTGACTTTTAAACATGGATGTTTCAGAAAAAATGTTTGGCAAAAAATAATAGTAAACTGACCCAAAATGAATTTGCCAAAGTTCAACAATAAACAAATGAAAATAGAAAGAACCAAAACACATAACTCCTCATAGAAAATTTAGATAAGGTTTTTTTTAGTTTACTAGTATGCTCAATAGGTAGCAGCACAGTCTATTCCTCTTAAAATAAGTTACAATCTTTCTTCGACAATAAAACGTGAAGAAATAACACAGAACTCTTCCGGAAAAGCGTGCATTTGTTGATAATGTATGGTAAAGAGCTTTAACTGTTCATAACGGGTAATTCTGCCTAAATATATTGTTTTAGTGTATTTTAAATATGGATGTATTAACGTAAAAGAAGTATCATTATTTTGTAATTTTTTTAATGGAATTGTATAGTTATGTAATTTCTTGAAATTTATGTGTTACTATTCTTTACCTCATTTTTACGTAGAGAGAGAAGTTATGGTTAAGAATGTATTTATAACTAACTACTAAGGTTAAATATAATGGTTTACTGTGAAGTGCAGGAGGTAACTGTTGTGAATGACTCTTGAGCAGTATGTCATATCTGATGCTGCCTTCTGGTGTTAGGTGTCTGAATCAGGGTACTACTTATTAAAGTCGGAGCGTTTTCTTGTTGATTTTACCCTAATGTCTGTAGGATATTCCTATATGTTTAGGACTACAAACTGTTTTAATAACGCCCTAAGAATGCGTTTCAAGATATTACAGTTAGCAGCTCACAATATAAAGCTGTAAACGTTGATAAAGTTTTATATTAAAGTAGTACATCAGAAGAACGATAGAATACAAAATTTATTTTGTACATCAAAAGTAAAAGAAGGTGTGATACAAATATTATGTACAAAAATGGCACATTTTAAGACTTGGACACCTTGGTATCTTATTTGCACAAAGGAAATATTTTGAATACAATTAGTGAAAAACAGAGAACAGAATTGTTACTGGACGTTTCTGTATTGTGAGACAAAAAAAATCCTAAAACTTTCTACTTAGTTTTGCAACTACATATATATATATATATATATATACTATTTCATTCAAGTAATCTGACATGTTTCAGAATATGAAAAATATCCTATGCATAAACAGTAGGAAGGTAATTAATACGGTATATTATAAGCATAACAAACTTGTAAAGCCTGTTATTTTCACATTATTACATAACTGTAACCAGTCTTTATGACATCCACATACATAAATGTTATTTAAATACTTCTCTTCAAAATTCAGTTTGTTACTGAAACATATCATAATAGTAAAAGTGAAGACTTGTCTGCGTGATAACTTGAACCCAGGTACGTCAATTGGTAGGAGTACACTGGTGTCCTGGGTTCAAGTCTCAGTTCACTGCAGATTTCTTAACATCCTGATACGTTACAATACACACACAAAACATGTAACATTCTAGCAACAGACCAGCATAGAATTCAACAGTTTCATATTTTTCACTAACATCAGAAAACTTACTGTTTCAGTACTTTAACATTAAATCACACTGTAACATGCAAAGAAAAAAAAAGAACTATATTCTGAAAAAAATTATGTTTTTAGTAGTTGATTAAGTATCTAGTTGTTAACATATTAAACATTTAAATCTATGTATGATAAAAAAAACTAGATTATTGTTATACTTCACAGATTACCTGCAAAGTTTAAGTATCATATATATAAAAGTTACTGTATGTACAATGTGAATATTTTCTAGACATACTTCTTCATATAAACACTGTTTACTGACAAAATCAGACATCACCATGATTTCTAGCATATCAGAAGTGTTAGAAATAACCTAAATATGGCACAAAAATGAGACTCGTGCAGAATACCAATACTGTAAATGCTATGTCAGTATCTAAGTTATGTGAATGTTTTCACTTTTAAATGTCATTGAAAGCTCATGTTGAAAATTACCTGAAATTGTCATCTTTCATTGTTCAAATATTTAATAGTTATCCAAGAAATTTCCAAAAGGCCAAAAAAGAACTTCCCACCTTTTGTAGTGTGTTAAATATTACCTGTAACTGTTCTTCAGTACTAAAATATTCAAAAACAGTTCATTTGTATGAATATTGTATAACAAGCAAAAAAAAAAAACAGAAAATATATGAGGTTTATACTTGGATTTTCAGTCATTCCTCAGGATGTCAGGGTGAAGACAAACCCACACACTCCAGGCTGCTTCATTCTTCATTGAACTTAAAACATCACACAGTACTGAACTCTGGGGATTAGCCTACTTATCTTTTTGTTTCTGTAAAAGCTTTTCATATAAACTGTGTTTCATTGAAAATAACAAGGATTAAACCCATGTGCCTATGTTAAGTACTTATGAACAGGGTAGTATTCTGGCCAAATATTTTGGCTAGGACTGGAATACAAAAATTTATAATCCCAAAAATGACTAAATAATTTTTTTCCTAAGTAAAAGTACATCAGTAATAGACTGTTACTTCACAGCCCTACTTGATAGTAAATTTCAGTTTGGGCATTGCTGACCTAGACCTAATAAGTGAATACACAATTGGGATACCTTACATGTGTATTTAGTACATTATTATTGTGACAAATTTCCAGTGTTCTTCAAGTTTTAATAGAACTGTTTTTTCTCTAATCCAGTAAGACTTATGTTAAAGCTTAACTGGGGATATATGTATATACACAAAAGTATCAACTTCAAAATGATAACATGCCCTATGACTAGCAAATTTGTTCACTCACACACAGAGAAAAATAGTAAGGTAATTTAGGCAGTGAGTTAAGTGTTTAGTGCAGATGGATTAAAATAAGATAATAAATTCTTGTACTAAGTTCTCTTCTCCTGTATGGATTCACTCAATTAGAGATGATATTGGCAGTGCAAAGTGTATTAACATATTTCCAAGGGAAAAAAAAGATGGCTAAGCAATAACCCTTTAATTGGTATTCCAAATTCCAGTAATTGAAAAAAGCATATCTTTTTATATTAGGATAATTTACTATGACTGTAGCCATATGCCAGCAAATCACTTAAGAGTTTAAACAGACATCAGAATTATAAACAGTTCTTTGTTCAGATCTGGTACTTTTGTTATTGGTATGTTATAGTTTTCTTCTGAATACCTAAACATAACATTACCACATTAAGACTAGGTCTAATAAAGAAAAGACCATCTGGCCAGCAGATACCAAATAATCATTGGGGCACATGACTCGGGCCTAGGAGGTTCTCTAACTGTCTATTACAGTAACATTCCTTATTAACAATAAGTGGATTAGTTTCACATTGTTTAATTAACACAAATGTCACATTTTACTGTCTACTTTTATTTCACCAATTTGCATGGCAATTTCACTGAATGTTGGCCTGTCTTTTGGACTTATGTTCCAACAGGAGAGGAGCAAGTTTCGCAAAGATTGAGGAGATCCCTCTGGTGGGTTCCAATGCAAGTCATGACTTCTCAAGAGTCGCAATATTACATCATCTCCCTTATTAGCAAAAGGAAGTTCTGCCTGCATGAAAACTTCCCAGGTGAAAACAGCAAAAGACCAAACATCACTTTTGGTTGACCACTCATCCTCCAGGACAGCTTCAGCTGGTGCCCACCTTAATGGGATATTCTTGAACTGGTAACGACTGTATTCCTGAGCATAGGTGTCTCTGGAGAGGCTTGGGCTGCTGATCTTTACTTCCAGTCTTGAAGTGATCAGACAATTCCTTGTGGCTAAATCTTTGTGAACAAACCTGTGATTTGATAGGCTTTCCATTCCAAGTGCCACCTGGTGACAAATAGCCATAATTTGAGAAGTAAATAGTGGTGGAGGTTTGGGACCTTTACGAGCTGTATCCTTTCGAGTGGCTAACAAGAACTGCTTCAAGTCTCCCTAGAAAATTGGAACAAGTATTATTTAAAATTTGAATACTTTACAAAGAGGATCTTTATTTTATTTGTTAATAAAAAATCACCTATGAGTATACAAATTCTTTTATTTAAATGTAAAAGAAATATAAGAGAAAATTTGCACATTTATTTATGTTAAGGAGCTTGTAGCAAAATTATCTTTTAACCTCTCTTCAGGAAATAATATGTTAACTAATATTTTGATATTCCGCAGAGATTACTGCTTATGTATACGAGGGTAAGGGTGTGGATTTGGTGTATCTGGATTTTCAGAAAGCATTTGACAAGGTGCCACTAAAAGGCTTGTAAAAAAAAAAAAGATTACTATAAGTGTGGGGGATATTGGCTCATTGGACAGTAAGAAGACTGGATGGAAGAAAGCTGAAGGTTTTTATAAATGGAGTTTAGCTCAAAGGGAATTAATGTCACAAGACTCAATGTTAAGAACTTTTATCTCTTTGATTTATATCAGTGACATAGGTGAAAGAATGGTCAATAAATTGCTTAAATTTGTTGATAATATTAAGGTATTGGGTGTTGCTAACTGTGAGGAGGATGCTGCTGTTTTATAAATGGATATATATATTTGATGAATTGGACAAATAATTAGCAGGTGACTTTTAAATATAACAAGTGGAAGGTAATGCATGTGGGATATCGTAACTTGAATTATGAATATAATTTTGATGGGGATAACCTTAACAGTTTATGGAAGAAAAGTATCTTGGTGTTCTAGATGATCAGTCTCTTAAACAAACCAAAAAAGTGATGTTGCTAGTGGTAGGGCAAGTAAGATTTTAAGTTATATCTATAAAGATACTGAATACGAGTCTAAGGAGATTATAATTTTGATGTGTCACTGGTTAGGCTTTATTTGGAGTATTGTACTCAGTCCTGCCTCCTTATCCTAGAAAGGACATTGAATTGTTTAGAGGAGGTATACCAGAACAGCAGTGTCTAATAGGATTTTGCTGCTGCAAAACTTGTGAGGATCAGGTCACCATATTCGCTACATGGTACAAAATATATACAATATTAATAAAATAAATGTGCAATCTTCCGAAAATTGGTTTGAAGTTTTAAACTGGTAGCAATAAAGACTGATTCTCAGTAAAATATGGTAATGTAACAAAAACTTAAAGTTTCAAATATTAATATGAAAATAGAAGAAAAAAAATGTAACAGATGATGAGCATCAATTTGCCACATGTCTGCAGCCAATTCACCACATATGGCGAGTGGCAAACATATTGGACAACATTGTAGTAGAATGATACCTGAGGTGGAAAGGTTGTCACTAAGTACTTTAACCTTGGTAAGGGAATTGATATTGTTGATGCATAATCTTTTTTCATATTTTATGGTGAGAATGGTAGGACTAAGGGTCACAAATATAAATTTTGATAGAGTAGGAGTGAACTTCATCTAATATAGTTTTTCTTACAGGGGGTTGGCATTTGAAATGGGTTGCTTTCCGGTGTGGTGGATGCAGCAAATGTAAGGGAGCTTAAGGGAATGCTTGATTTTTTTTTTTGCTTAGTTTAGTGAATGGTATAGCCTAGATGGACTAACAAGGTTCTTGTTGTCCTTAAATTTTATGTTAATTTAAAATATCTCTAGAAGTAACTGACCGGCAGGAAAATAAAATAGAACTGTGACAAGTGTAATGCCCTATATGAAATATCTTGTTTGTTTGTTTGAGGTGTAGATGACTGAAATCAACTGTGATATCATTCAAAGCTACTGTGAATATTGAAGTATCTGCTAGTCATAAGACATCACTTGGAACCTGTGTAGCTTTCAGGTGCTTGATAATGATTGGATGTTATATGTTTCCACACATGGGGCCCTTCTGTTGTTATACTTTTATACTTTAGTTATTGGATAAGAGTCTTGCATATAGCACTTGTAAGACTAATATAACTTCCTATCTAAAAGTGTTTTTACACATGGATGCATATGACATTTGGTAAGGTTGAACTACATAAAAGCTTTAATGTTTTTTAAAGAAAGTGAAGTTCCATATATACACACAATAAATGTTCTAATTTTTAAATTCACTGCAAGCTTATTTACCACAACCTACCCAATCACTGTATTCCACAATCATCAGGAATGGCTCTACATCTCGACATAAGCCTAGAAGTTTCACTACATTTTGATGGTTCAGCTTGTGAAAAATGTCCATTTCTCTTTTAAATTCAAAGTGGTCATTTTCATCCCGAGTGTGCAGTGCTTTTACCATAACTAGGGTTTCAGCTTCATTGTCTCGTATTCCACGAGCCTTAGCAAGAAATACATCTCCAAATTCGCCTCTCCCTGGTTAAGATTAAAACTGTTAAAATACCTTAAAAGACAAAGGTTTAAAAAATTACAATTCATATTTAAAATAATTGAAGGTACCAGCCATCAATTATCACAGAACACTTTTAATGGCTCAGTCAAATTATCATTTTATTTTTCAAGTATAAAACCTTTCTTTTTTATGAATTACTCTACATGTTTTCAAATTATGTTACAAGTTTGTTTGTAGTTGAGCACAAAGCTACACAATGGGCTGTCTGTGCTGTGTCTACCATGGGTATCTAAACCTGGTTTCTAGCATTATAAGTCTGCAGACTTAATGCTATGTCATTAGGAGGCTTGTGTAACAAGAAATGCAATCAATAAATTTTAAAAATCTATTTGGTTGGCAAAGCAAGTAAGTTTCGTATTTCATAATAGTTTCAAACATAATATTCTAGCAGAATGGTTTTGATTTTCCAGTCATATAGTGTACAAAAGACAGATTGGGGAACATAATTACATTTGTTTATGCCTTATATAGAAAACACTAATTCTGAAATAATTTTTGAAAAGATATAACTTACACTAATGTACTTTCCATTCTGTTGACCTGCCTGAGTAAAGATCTGAGAAAGCATTTGAAAATAATTCAAGCAGTGAAATCACTTAAAACTATTGATAGCTTAAAAAAATAAAACAATGATTAAACTCCAATGAAATAAATGATTAAGTAGAAATTTAATCATGCTTTTTTAATGTGTTATCAAGGATAATGTACAAAATTACAAACTCATCTGAAAATAATTAAAACCTACAAACAAGTAAATACTAATTTGAAGCTTTATAAATATGTTTTCTCACCCAAGAGCATGACTGTTTGAAGGTCGTGACGTGGAAACTGAAGTCTGTCATATGATGACCTACTACGTTTGGAATGGTGTGAATGAGAGCCAGAGCTGTGTGAATGACCCTCTCCATCACTTTTGGCTGGCCCTCCATTTCTGTGGTCTTTTCTAACAGATCCATTTTTATCTTTCAGTTCTGTGTTTTGAATGACATCTCCATTCTCAGACTTAGCCACTTTGGAGAATGATATAAAGTTACATTGTAAATAATATTTTAAATAGGTTTAAAAAATTTTTAGGTTCTTTTAATTTAAAAAAAATTAATATTTATTTCTTTCTTGAATTATCAATGGCAGTAATGAAAAAATAAAAAAAAACTTTTTTATGTATAGAAAACCTTCCAAAAATCTGGATATTTGGTCCAGATTCAATTCTTTAAGTTTCCTGACACATTTTCTGTACAAAAGTTTCTAAAGACATTTGATTTTTATTTATCAAATATTTAGGTAAAGTAGAAAAAGACAGTATTTTCAATGGAATCTTTCAGCATTAAACTTATATTTGCAAACAAAAATAATTCCCCAGTAGTCTTGACTTTAGGCAGCATAGCAAACAAAATAACAATATCTTATCAATGTTTTATAATTTTGCAGGTATCACTGAATAATGATTTTATATATGTTTTTTTCTAATTAGTAAACTTTCATTTTTAGGACAGAAATTACCAAAACTAAGTAAAATACAGAGTGAGAGGTTTTATTTTGAAAAAAACGAAAAAACACTTACCATCTGCAGTTGCTTGAGCAAGAAGCAAGGCCTTACGTCTTGCCCGCCTGAAACGGCACCAGATCATCAAGCCCATAACAAGCACCATGTAGACTGCTGCAGCACCAAGAGTTATCGTGACTGTTTTAGTCATGGTGTTCTCATTCCCATCCAATCCAGCACCAATTTGATTAGGGCTATAACTTTCTCCACCTTTATTTAAAAAACGTTTCAACTATTACTACTACTTCAGTCAAATATTTTAAGTCTAAGAAGAAAAAAAATGAGGAAAACAGAACTACTGGTACAAGTACACATTTGTTTATTAAATTATTCCAGTGCTATTTTTGTAATAGAAAAAGAACTGAAGCTCAAAACTATAGCATTTTTCATATCTCAGCAAATTTCAGCTAGAACATCTAGGGGAACTGTAAGCATATCTAGTGGCATATGAGGCAAAAATCAAGCAGAAAACGAATTTAAAAACATTCATTATCACAACAAACAAATTTTTGTGATGTTGTTTTCAACAACAAAAACATTTGTTGTTGAAATAGGGAAGTGGAGCTGAGCTCTATCACAAAAATAGGCCTGAATTGTTTGATGGCAAATTTAAATAATTGGAATTACATTGATAGGTAAATTGACTATGGTTGATTTACGGTAAATAACTCTTTGAAAGATGCTGAGAAACTGGGATTCAGTTAAAATATAAATAACACCTGTTAAATGTACAGTGAGTACTGTCAAGCATACAGTTTTGAAAGCTCACTTTGAACAACTAGTTTAATTTCTGTTCGGCGAAAACCTCCACTGTTTCCAGCAGTACATCCATATTTTCCTTCATCATTCCTGTGAGCTTCACTGACATATAGAGTTCCATTTTCTAGAACTTGAAACCGCTTTTTGTCAAAACCATTGAGTACATTATCCTTATCCCATTGGATGGTAGGTGGTGGGTCACCTGTGGCTTTACAATGAAGCATGATGGGATAACCTTCATAAGCAATAGTTTCTGCTGGCCTTACGGTAAAGGTTGGCAAAACTGAAGAAACAGAACAAAAAAAAAAGATGTAATGAAAGCAATGTTACCAGAAAGACACTTCTGTCTTACTGAAAGTCACACGATGTTAAATGTAATTGTCATAACCATTCACAAATATGAACACTGCAGACAGTGTATTTTAATATTAATTTTTTTCATAATGCCCACACATACTTTTTACAACATGGTGTCTTTCAAAAACAACATGCCTTTCAGGATCTCAAAGGATTGTTGTCAGGAGCTTAATCTTTCTACAGAACTACAACAGCAAGAATAATTTTGTTTTTATGAAATTTTATTAGGAAGTGGATCAAAACAAAAATTATCATATTTTATGGAATGGATTACTAAATGTCAGATTTACCTGTGATAAGAACTATGTTTATATTTCATTTTATTTTCTGAAGTCGTAACATCTGATGTAACAAAACGTGGTTATTTAAACTGCTTATTGAAATCTTTACACATATAATGTGAACTTATGGTATGCAAATTCAACTTAATGTTGTTTAAGATACATATTTTACATCTGTCTTTATAAACAAATTAGCAAGCTTTCTTATGCTACTTCAAAAATGTTAATAGTACTTTCAAACCATTAATTATACTAACTTTAATGCTTCAACATATATAATACCATTGTTTTAATAACTTGCTTCTAACAAATATACAGTAGTTTTAAGTTGTTACAACTTTGCTACCTACCAATAACTTCAACATGTATAGTTGTATTGATAAATGCCTGAGTGCTAGTGGCAAAACAAGTGTAGTTTCCAGCATCACTCTGTCGTACACTAGTAAAGTACAGAGTTCCATTTTCATCTTTAATATGTGGTGGCCATTTAAAGTATTCATTTCCCTCCTTAGTCCATCGTACTGTGGGTGGGACAGCTCCTCTGGCTTTACAGTAGATCTTAGCATTAGATCCAAGTTCCAAGTTTTTACTGACTGGAGGTGGAGCAAACTTTAACTTCTCTAAATAGAGAAACAATGAAATTAGTTATAAAACAGTACATTTTATAGCACTGGACGAGAACCTCTTCACTATTTGTACTTACAGTATTGTGCAACATTTAATGCTTATCTACTGGACATACAAATGAGTTTCTTATGTGGCCATCAACCTAGAAGTGAGATAGCCACAAAGAATAAACTTCATTATCATAGATTCTATTGCTGCTTAAATGAAGTCAGTCTGCACATGATATCTATAAGCTTGTATTGGAAGATTAAAAACTGTTGAGAATATTTATCCTTTAAGACGTTGATCCAACTAGTAGTTTCTTATGCATTGGTTGAGAGTCTGTCTCCCACCAACTCCTGCAGAAGCCTTTATACCGATCTTATACTTGGTACTGTAATTAAAACTTAGCTATGCGTTTTAGTAAACACTTATTTCTTTGAATTACTCTGTTAAAAAACAACAACAAAATATTTGATTGGTGAGCTCAAATTCAAAGTAATGTCTAAGTTAAATACAACTGTCATTTGGCCAATGAGATTGTAATATACAAGCTTTTGAAACAATTATTTATTAAGCTTTAATTAAGAAACTGAAAAAAAGAAGTCAAACCAATCTCACTAGTCATAAAATATGAAAATTACTGAAATCACATTATCAGAGTTAAATTAATTTAAATTAACAAGCTTTTGAAGTTATTACTGAAATGTAAATCATGCTTAAATTGGGGGATGATTCTTACAGAAGATTAAGTAACTTCATGTGTCACAAGGAGACCTGCAACCAAACAATGTGTTTGTTTGGAGACATACAAGTGTAACAATGCATTAGCAAATAATGATTTATAAGCAACATGAAGTAATTTTTATTTTTGGGGTAACATACTACATGTTTCAACAGAAGAAGACAGACCAACGTTGTGTCGAAACAGCATATTCCACTCAAAATAAACCCATCATTATTTTTTATAACTTGTTGTTTACTAACTCATTTTCATTAGTATAATGTTCTTCCTTACTCAAGCAAACATACAAGTGTACCTATACTACATTTACACATACAGAACAATAATGGAAGCAACATTGCTAAAAAGTCTTAGCTATAAAACAAAAAAAATTTTACTTTTTGGGTGCAAACCAAACGACTGAATTTTACCAAATTTTACTCTTTTATTTGTTTCTGAGAGAGCTGCTTTTCCAGATGCTTTGAAAATGAAAATTTGTAGTTATCAATTAGTAAAACTTGCATACTAATAAATACAAAGAATCAAAGCAAAATATAAGCCTGATTTATCCTGAGGTAACAACCTTCTTCCCTCAGTGTCCCTCTCTTAAGAAGAATTTTACTAGTCATCATTTATAGTACAGCTTATTAGGACAGGTCATATTTACATCGAGTTTCACATCAACACCTTGTTTCTTCTGTTTTACATAAACCTTGGCCAAGCTTTATAGAAATGTAGTATTACCTTAAACTGTTTTTGACTAAGGTAAACTCAATTTGGATTCAAAAGATAACTAAAAAAAATTTGGAGCTTACACCCTTACGCCAAGCTAACCCTAGAAATTTTGAACTAAAATAGCTTAAAGTGGTGGTGTAACTTTAGTTTCAAAAGTAGGATTACTAAAGTTGGAAAATTATTGAATACTTATCATACATGTACAACACTTTTTAAACAACAATGAATCTGGGTGTATATACATGCAGAGCAAAATTACAAACAAAATAAAAGCAGTAGGGCAGTAAACAGTCTTTAAAATAAAATAACCTCACCTTTCACAACAAATGAAGCATTTTTAGACTGGATAGAAGGAAATCCTTTAGTTTTCACTTCACACTGGTAAAGTCCCGAGTCCACAAGCTGAACTCCATGGATGAAGAGAGTTCCGTTGTCTGGGTGGACAACATAGTGGGAACGGGAAGTTTCTATTTTTTTACCATTTTTTAGCCAGTGGACAGAGGTTATGGGGTAAGGGCTCCCATTGTATTCACAGAATATCTTAGCTGTTTCACCTTCATCTGTCTGAACTCTTAACGGGTGAGACTTTATTGTGGGTGGAACTGTACAATTCAGAGGAAATATAGCAAGTTTTACAAACCAATGTTCTTAATATGTACATACATATATGAAATTATAAAGTATTAGTTTTTACAAACTAGTTTAGGGATTTTATAATTATACTGGATACTACAGGTTACACAAGTTGTTTTCGAACTATCAATAATGATTTCACATATCATAAAATTGCCTTTTTAGAGGCAAGGAATGGATGATAGTGTACGAAACTAACTATTTTTTACATGTCTCGTCCGTAAAGTTATAATCCATTATTTCTTTGATGTTAATTTGATTAATTATGTTTATTAAAACTTTTAATATATA